CAATGAAAATATCTGAAAATGGTTTGAAGTTGAAAACAGCTGTGCATAGTTTTGTCCTGGTTTTACTTTTCTATGATGAAAACCAAAATCGACAGTCTTTGCAACTCTCCTTATTTGGAGGGGAGCCATGATTAGTGACAAGAAATTAAGTTGCTATATATTTTGATGTGGAAATTGGGCAGTATTTCTGATGCTTTTTGATTGGAGGGAGGAGAGGGGCAAATTGAGGAAGTAAGCCTGATGCATGCTGGCCTGAACTGAGGGAAGCAAGGCTGCACTGGCATGTGTTTTTCCATAATGACCGAGTTGTCAACACTTCTGGCTTTTAGTATACTGTTTTGCAAAAGTGGACAAGCGGCCCTCGGAGATCAAGTATCATAATGTCATCTGTTTTCCTTCTACTGCTGTTATTGACAAGTTGTGCTTCACCTCATGGAGGACATAATAGGAAGGGAAATAACTCCTTGTTCTTGAGGTAGTTTTGTAAGCACAAAAGCTTTTTTTTCTTTTAATCACCCTTTTTAGGGAAATGAGAAATTATATGCTTTGGAAACTAAGAATGACCCTGTTGTACAGGGCTAGAGAGTTTGTGTGTACTGCAATCCATCATTCCTCCTATTGCTCGTTCTTCATATATAGCAAAGTCAGATCAGCTGTTGTGTTATGCATGTTGAAGTAGAACTCCTTCCTCATAACTAATGGATTTGTTTTCTGGATAACTGGAACTTGTATACCTTTATTTCAGTGCTATTTATTAGAATAACACTTTATGCTAGATGCTCATCCTGAACAGCACTGTTGATTTGTTTTTGTGATGCTCAGTGAGTAAAAAGCCACAGCGTAGAGGAATAACTTGTGTGTGCCTGTGTGTGTAGTTTTGTTTGTTTTTTAAGTTAAATATAGTTGCTTTTTCATGAATAAACAGTTACTTTGCAAGATCTCTTTACTCTTAAGTCTTCTCCCAAAGTTTCCCACTGAACAAAATTCTTCCTTGAAAGCTTGCTTTTTTTTTTTTTTAAAAAAACAGGATCTTGGGAATTGTTGCTGAGTTTGCACATCATGGGTAGAAAAATGCTTCAAAAAATGAGATCAATTATATAGTTCAACGCAAGGTACCTGACAATCCTGCTTTATCCCGGCCTGTGAGATTCATTGGCGTGTTCATTTGTGTAGAAGCGATGCCAAGAAAACAGTGAATTTGAGTGATAAAGAGGTTTGCTAATTGCAAGAACTGCTTTTGATTAGATGAATAAAAGGAAGACTATAATAATCCCTAAGGAGGGTTTGGGGGGGTAGGGTTTTTCTTTTTTTTTTTTTTGTTTTGATGAAATGATAAGGTCTGTAGTCCTGTGTTAAGCAATTCTTGAAATATGTTTAGATGTCTTGATTCTCTCTGAGTTTTCTTAATCTGCTGTATTTTTAGAAAATGATGATTCAAACAGTATCCGAATTAATCCACTTTAACACTGAAGGTTTTATGTATAATGGTAAGGTGTGGATTTAAAAAAAAAAAAATCTTTGTACTTTGAATCTGTAGCTTTCTAAATAGTCCAAGTAAACTGACCCAAGATTATAGAGACAGAGCATCTAGATAAGCACCTCAAGATACTTATTGTTGCAAAGGAATTATATAGTAATGCTGAGCTCCATTGAACACTGTTTCTTGATGGTTAGCTAACCATAGATAATAGTGGCTGTTCTAGAGCTTCTCCCTGTGACCCTGTTTATGATGGGAATATCTGTCCTGCAGTAACTGAGAATCAGGTTGGTAATTATTGCAAATAAGTCATCAAACAGCTCGCAGAAAGTAATGCCACTTCTAAGCCATAGTAAAATACAACCAGTAACCTGAAAGTGGGGAATCGTATCTCGTTAAACCACTCACTATCTTCAGGATGTCATTTAAAGAAAAAAGTCTACTAGAGCATTACGATTTTCAAAAGTTGCCTGAACATCAATATGGATTCTCCTTATACCTGTAATAGCTATGTAGGTACAGCATGCTTAAAGACCGCCCCTGACCATCAGCTTACATTTTGTCTTCTTTCCTCCTAGTGACTTGAGCAACTATCTTTAGAACAGACTTGTACCCAAGTGACAAGGATGAAAGTAAATTGAGACGTCTTAGCTCAGTGTGATGCTTGCTTGCTGTCTATCAGTTGAAAGAGAATTGTGGTTTAGCTGCTGAAATTCTTTGGTTTAGTTAGTAGTTCAGGAGCTCTTTAGTTGAGCCACATATGAAATTGAAATAACTTGCACGCCACAGTTCACATTCTCCTGCTATTGGCTGTGACTGCGAATACGAAGTCTAACTTCAGTTAAGCTCAGTGCTGTATTTGGTTTTGGCTTTATTTTTTGTATGTTGACTTGCTGTTTTGTTCCTCTTACTAAACATTTTATCACAAATTGTCTTGCATTCTTTCTCTCTTCTCTAGTGTGTTTAGGTTAGGTAGCTATGTCACTTAAACATGGGGAATATTGCTTATTAATTGCTATGTATAATACCTGATGACAGAGGAACTGCACTAAAAGACTCAAGTCCTTTCTGTATGGTTTCTATGACTTGTATGAAGATCATGATAACAAACTATTTTGGATACTTGTATGAAGTTACTTTCCTTTTATGGATATGGTTGTAAGTCTGATTATGCATTTTCATTGTCTGTCCTTGTGCATGTTAAGAATGCAATAAAGCAATTGGAGTGGTAATAACTGTAGACCATGTGTGAAGTTTATTATATTCTAAAGTTGTCCAGGACTTTGCCCATGGCATAATGCACAGTGGCTTAAGGCTGAGGTGATTTACACTTGGCTGTAGTCGCTCTCGAAGCCTACCAGAGCAATAGGGAATAACCAGAGTACTGTATGCTTTACTTGTTCTGGGTGCTTTACTGCTATCTAATTTGGGGATCTGCCCCAAATGGGCGCAGGATTGCAGAGTGATGCGAAACTGATGGCCTAAACATACAGCTTAGGCATTCTTACAAAAAATAGCTTTGAGATGCACAAAGATGTGAAGATCACTTTGGATGCAAATTTATTTGAGAGTAAATAAGCTGAGAAACAACAGTTTTTTGGGTGGGCTTGGTGGTACAGGCAAGTATTACCCTTTACTTACTGATATCCGTGATAAGTGGATATACAATTCAAACAGTCAGTTAGCATAGTGGAAAAACATTATGGTAAGCAAAAAGGAACCAATGTGTGTTCAATTGGCCTTACAATTCCCTGATAAGCAGCATGCGTTTAACCTTTATAGGATGAATTAGCTGTCTAAGAAGTGACGCTTGCATTGCAATTCTCCTTAAAGTCCTCTGGAAAAAAGGAAGAAATCTTGCTTTCGGCAAGTGTGAGAGATGATTATGAAAAAGCAAAAATCATCTCTTTTTATATAAATTAAGAACACACAATCTGGTGTGGCTCACTTTCTCTAAGAAAATAAATCGCTTTATATCGACAACATTAAAAAAAAAAAAAAAGGAATATCAGCTTAAAAAGTCTTTTTAATGAGTTAAGGACCTTTATAAACTTAATGCTGTGTGGAAGTTGATACAGTGGTCATTTGTGGCCCTTCTGTACAGCCCCTGAGAGAACCCTCTTCTCTTGAATGACAGCAGTCTCCCTGAGCAGCAAGGCTTAACTATAAGTAAGGATGCTGCTCTCAGGAATGAATTAGTACTCCTACTTGAACTCTACAAGCTCTCTACAGCATGTAGAGAGTAATAGTAGGTGGAGATGCAAAGGGAAGTTAAATATGTGTCTTTGCTAGAAGTAATATGCCTAACGCTTAAGTGCTGGTTGTTTAGATTAGTCTTGACCAGATTAATAATTCCAATACCGTTCTATTCCCTGAAATACAAGAACCAATCCTTTTCTGTAGTCACTGAACATCACTATGCAATGAAGTTGAGTATGGAGGTCCCTAAGGAGGTGCCAGCCTGAGTCAATAAGTCCAGATGATGCAGTGCGATGTCAGCAGGTAGACTAGCTCAGGTTGCAAAGAAGTACAGCTTTATCAGCAGTGGTGCTGTGTGTAAGTCGATATGTGCTGTTCGTCAGAAACTGCTGAAAAAGTATAGTTTTCCAACTTGGAATTTTTCAGTGGCTGACTTGGCTAATATTCAAGACTACTAAGGGGAAGAAAAGTACAATGTTGTGAGTGAGGCAGCAGCTTAATACACGTGTGTGAAAACTGATAGGTCATATATCTTTCTTGGTTTCTAGCAATATGTGCTTATGTATGTCTGTTGTGTTTATTTCTTCTCCTCTGCTGAATTTTTCTCCTTTTTTGTGTATGATGGATGATCTTCTGCTTGAGGAAGGGGATTGCAAGATCAAGTCCCCAAATTAATTTCTTGCTCTACAAAGGCAGTTCGAGTAAATCTGGCTTTGCTCAGTGTGGTAGCTTGGCTAAAGCCATAATCTGTGACTTAAGGACAAATGATGGCATATGTCCTTAATCTTTTGCAGAGAGATTGTGTGCAGGTGTGCCAGTCTGACTAGAAGCAATGCATCTGACTAGCTTGAGATCAAGACCAAGCTGTTAAGTTGTGCCTTTGTTGCTTACTAGTCTTGCCCTTGGTGCCCTGCTGACTGGCTACATGACTTTCAGATAGCTTTAACTATAGATAGAAGAAGCTTATGTCTGCCTGCGGAAGCCTGGGAGCCTTTCTGAATTATTATATTACTTTGACTTCTGTTTGTCTGCCCAGGGCTAATAGCAATTAGTCACCATGTCAGCTAAACCTGTTAACCACTGTCCTCTGTGGGAGGCTCGCATAAAGTCTGAGAGTACACTAATATCTTTCTGTGGTGGTGGTTAAACTCCCTTGATAAGGTAGCAGTGTCACTGCCATAGTTTAAGCTCACTGTGCTCTTTATTCGGATGATGTTAACCAACTTTCACGCGTAACTGCGTTTACTTCATGCACAATTAAACACATGATTATATG